CCAACCTAACAGGATTGCCAACTGTGATTTTATTTTGCAAATGGATTTTAATGTTATTGAGTAAAATATTGATTTTTTGTGGCTGGGCCTTTTGTACTTATATGGTCCCATAAAAAATGTGTAGAATAGGCAATTTTTGATATTTATTTTTTTAACAATTAGTGTACAAACCGAACTTTTGGGAAAAGTTACTGGTGGGTTACGCTATAAATTGTTATAATGGAAGGTATTAAAAACATGTTGAAGGCTTAGGCCCAATTTTACAAGAATCCATATTTTTTTCTGAATGGGGTGGTATAAATACGTCAATTTAAGCATAAGTGTGGCTTAGGGCCTTCTGCCGTTTAACAATCGATATGTCGGATCGCTATACAGGACTTCAAGCAAAAATACGAGCATTGTCATCAAGCGCTATTTATGTCCCATGTGCAAATGATTCTTTAAATCTTGCAGTTAACTTTGCATATATATGAGTTAAACTTGGACATAAATGATTATTTCAGCACTGTTCAAAGCATTTACACTCTTTTTCGGCTTCTCCTCAAAGGTGGAATTTACTGAAAGAATGCTGCAAATCTTCTGTAAAGAGATTGATTGAAACTAGATTGGCTGCCCGATTTGACTCTATGAATGCTTTACTTAAAAACTACATACCTACCAAACATTTTTTTTTAATTAAGCAATAATAGAGACGAAAAATCAGCAGTTAGAAGTGAAGCCAAGGCTCTGCACAATAAAATGGACACATTTGAGACAGCTTTATTAACAATAATTTGGACCAGAATTTTGGATAGATTTAATGCACCAAGCAAAACATTAGAAACTGAGGACCCGAACGTGTCAATGACATCTCTTTTGACCTTTGTTGGAGAAATCTGGAATAAGTCTGACGAAATTGAAATAGAAGCAAAAACTTTCTTCTGTGAAGGCGAGAATATCTCAAAATATCCTAAAAAACTGACCTTCAAAGAGCAAAGAAAAGAAAAACATTTTTTGATGAAAGAGGTGAAAGTGAAACAATTTTAAAAGAAAAAGAAAGATTCAGAATTGAAGTATTTAATGTTATATGCGACAATATCACTCAAGATTTTTCAAAGAGAGTTGAATGCTACAAAGAATTAACATCAGCCTTTAGATGTTTTTTTACCCCAGATAAAGAAGAAGACAAGATGTAAATTAATATTTTATGCGAGAAATATAAAAAAGATGTTGATGAAACCAAAGAGAACTTACATAATGAAATTACTCGTTTTCTGGAACTATGCAAAAATTTTAAATAAAAAAACAAATTATGAAAAATTTAAGGTCATTCTGATGGTAAAAGCAACTTTTCCCAATATTTTAACTTTACTCCAAATTTATTTGACGATACCAATTTCTAATACGTCGGGCGAGCGGTCTTTTTTGGCTTTAAAAAGAATAAAGACATATAAGATCAAATATGGGTCAAGACAACCTAGACGCATTATCACTATTATCTGGGAAAATGTGGAAGATTTCTCAGATTAAGATAGAACATTAAAAAATAAGAAGACAAGTTCCCATAAATTTTTTTCTCAGCGGCCCCATCCTTACGGAGATACGGCCACCAAAAGGACGCCACTGGAAATCAATTTTTCTTGAATAATTTTCAAACTACGTAATATAATTTAATGAAAATTTAATATGACAAACAGTAGTAAGAACCTCTTAAAATACTGCCCTTAAAACATAATTAGCTTGTTTAGTTTACCAGGGGAGGACTAGGTTGTACATTTTAATGCTCACATTTTTAACACCCTGTATGATAAGGAGTTAAAAAAAATAAATTTAGATACCTTAAATATTAGGCTAAAGAAAAGGTACTTTTCTTCATTGTCGATAAAATAAACCATTTTCGAGAAAAAAAAAATTAAAAGAATTAATGTTTTTTTTATTAAAATATTAAACTCCCAGAATTAGCTAATTTCAAATTGGTAGATTCTAAAATACAACTTGGTGTATTATGTTTTCATCCTAAAGCTTGAAACGATTGAAACTAAATACGCTAAATAGAAATAATCAATTAAAAACTTTATAAGTGGGTTCAACATGTGCTCCGTGAACTCTTAAACACTCGCGGGCCCGACAAATAGAGGACTGTTGTACTCGCCACAACAACCCAGCATTGTTCCTTATCACATTACAATGAAATCTGATTCTCTGTGAAAGTTCCTCCCTAGTATCAACCGGAGAGGAATACACCAAGGTTTTGAGATGACCCCACAGGTAAAAATCCATTGGCGTTAGGTCGGAAGACTGTGGAGGGCAGGAATTTGGACCTGCTCTGTCTATCCAACGGTTTCGAAAGACGTTATTCAGGTGGTCCCGTACAGCGACGCTAAAGTGAGGTGGGGCTCCATCATGCATAAAACACATGCTTCTGCGGGTTTCAAGTGGTAAATGCTCTATTGAATCCAGAAAACCATTCTGAAGGAACTGTAAATAAAGTTCACCATTCAATCGTAGCGGCAATACGCATGGTCCAATCAAAAAATTGCCGATTATTCCTACCCAAACATTAACTGATTGGAACTGATGTTGATAATGATGAACAACAGTGGCATGCGGGTTTTCATTGGTCCATACATGCGAGTTATGTAAATTTACAATACCTTTTTTGGTAAACCCTGATTCATCAGTAAAAAGAATAGTGTTAATGAAGTTTCCGTTTGTTTTTTGCTGATCTAACAGCCAGTTTGCGAACTGGAAAATCTTCAGGAAGTAGTTAATGCACTTTTTGCAGATGATAAGGGTTTAACAACTGTTCTTTTAGTACTTCAGCAATTGTCGTTTTTGACACATGGTAATCTTCGAGTGCTTATTAAAGGAGTATCAGCTACAGTATCCAAAATATTTTCCTTCAATTGCACCGTACGTACTGTTTTTGTCACACCATCATCAGTACTTGTTTTTCCAAAGCATCCTAAAAATTATTAAAGAAAGTGAATAATGTTACCTTATTAACTGGGAATCGCCCACCAGTCTCTCTTAGACGTCGCGTCGGTCAAGTCGCTGAAATGTTTTCTCATTTGAGATATTGCGATTAGGATATCTTTCTTCATACAACCTTCTTGCTTGATAAGCATTGTAAGATGCAAGACCGTACATAAGTTGCATATCTGCATACTCACTAAATGTGTATTCCATTATTGAATTAAATTTACTAAGATATTCAAAATTCAATAAATTAATATCGGAGTACGTGTCAACAAGATTTAAAATGCACACGTCACTGCAATTATTCATTTATTTACTTCGTAGGTACCATAGTAACGTTTGTAAAAATAGTGCATTTTTTAATACTGATAACAGTTTTATTTTAATGACTTTCACCTACTTTGCTGCAGACAAAAAAATTAAAATCATGGTTTCTTTTTAATAAAAATAAAACATTAATTCTTTTAGTTTTTTTTCTCGAAAACGGTTCATATTATGGACAATGAAGAAGAGTACCTTTTCTTTAGCTAAATGTTCAAGGTATCTAAATTTATTTTTTTTTAACTTCTTATCATACAGGGTGCTAAAAATGTAAGCACTAAAATGTACAACCTAGTCCGCCCCTGGTAAACTAAACAAGCTAATTATGTAAGGGCAGTATTTTAAAAGCTTCTTACTACTGTTTATCATATTAAATTGTTATTATATTATATTACGTAGTTTGAAAGTTATTCAAGAAAAATTTATTCCCAGTGGCCTCCTTTTTAAGGTTTCTTAGTCAGTTTTTATTTGAGGTTGGTCAAGTGTCAATGTCGGATGGTACCATTATAATATCACATATATTATGATCTTGGTCGATAGCTGCATACACTAGCACCCTACTTATCCGATGGATGGTAACCATGGAAAAAGAAAACAAAAAAGATTGATTGATTACGGATTTCAAAAAATACAAGACAAGACGTACCTCGTCACAACATTTTTCATATGTTTTTTTTTGACATTTTAAAATAAAATTATAATTATTCACTGAAATTCTGATTTCCTGCTATCTACAATTCGCTAGGAAAAAATTTATGGGAACTTGTCATCCTATTTTTATAAATGTTCTATCTATATCTGAGAGAGCTCCCACATTTTCCCGGACAAGTCAAGAAAAAAAATGTTATAATAATTTTTTCTTGTTATTTTTGGAATATGTTTTTTTTTAATTATTTGGTTTTATTGTTTATTTACTTAATTTGTATTATTTTTGTTTTTTTTTGTATAGTTTGAAATGTTATTTTTTGGGATTCTTTTTTCATTTGTTTTTAAAAATGTATGTATGATTTTTACAATAAAAATTCATAAATTAAAGCATGTATTTACTCGTTAAAAAACTGACAACAAATAGAAATGAAAGGGGTCCCTAAATATCCAGCGCCCAGGGCCCGAAGTTAGGTTAACCGGCACTGTAAAAAATATATATCTATAATATCAAAATTAATACCTTTTTAGCGAACATAAGATTAAAATAAGAATATGCATTATCCGGATATCTCAAATAAAAAATTATCAAATGATAAAATAATAAACATATAAAATACTTGACTTTTGATTGGTTTTTCAATAATGTTAAATAAAGTAACAAGCAAAAATACATATCAGTAATTTGACAATGCTACCGTACGAATATTCCGATAACAATATTTTACCAGTTTGTTACATATAAATAATTAAAGTCATGTTGGTGGAGGTAGGTACGAATCTCCATATTCAACGGGATTCTTAATAGAATATTATTGTGACTAAATTAAATTTATTAAAATTAAATGTACCTCTATATATTTTGTTTATTAATTTTTTCAATAAAATAATTTTTACTAGGCTTTTAATTGCTACTTAAAAAACTTAATAAACAGCTTTGAAATATATAAAATATTGATTTTTCACCTTACCGCGTTTCAAACAAGTAAAATTATATATTGGTTATGTGTACATCTTGAAAATTTTTAATTTTTCATCAATTTTTATTTTATATTTGTTTCTTATTATTTTTTAAGGCTCGATACAACTACACGAAGTCTATAGAAAAAATTCACTCGCAGCTAAAGAGGAAGAAATTAGAAGAAATCAAAAAAATAAAAGAAGAAGAGAAGAAGCGACAGAAGGAACTTGAAATATACCAAGGTACTTATATACAGCGTGATTCATTAGCGTGAAAAAGTCCAATATCTTTAACACTATTAGAGATTTATAAAAAAATATTTACAGAACGGTAGGCAGCATTGACATCCTTATTTTTGTAATGTGATATCTAGTTATTCTATCTACTTGTTATATGTGTTTGAGCTCAATTTATAAGGCGTGGGTTAGATTTTTAAATTAAAGCATACTACACTTGAATCTAGATTAGTGATAAAAATATAAAAAATCACTAACCACTAACAATTAATACTTGAACCATGCTTTAGATAAGGTAATTCGCAAATTCTAATTCACATAAGTTTTACTAAATTCAAATTTAAGATGATTTATTGAGTAAGCACTTATCTTTTGGTAAGTTTGGTAATATACGGAATGTAAAACTAGGTTATCTCAAGGTATATTATCAGGCAACTTTCACAAAGGGATTCGGGATCCTTATTTGTATTTCTGCATAATTCTGGAACGTGAATGATCTTCAGTATTCAAACTAGAACTCGAACTCGAAACTGTCTAGAGATGGAACGTCTAGAGATGAAATCGAAACCGTCTAGCTGCTCTATTGCTTATATTTTTAATGCAATTTTAGATATTGCCAAGTCATAAGTTACTTATAGATATGTTTGATTGCATTCTTTACCTATTGCTTGTGTCTGCTCCATTGTATTTACCACAGTAGCTGTATTGATAGGTGATAGATTAATGGATGTTAAGATGAATCTCTTTGTTTTAAGCTATTATCTGGTAGTAGATTACAATTGAAACCTGTCCACATTGGAGTGTTTGATACATGAAAAAAATGTGATACCAAGTGAAGAAGATCAATTGATTGCATTAATGTAAAGTTTTCTGGTAAATTAGATTAATCTTCCTCAACCAGTTTAAAACGTCCAGACATCTTTAATCGTTTAGCATTTCGGGAACAATAGCATCAAAGGTTTTTTTTTTATGGTCCTGGTAGCGTTTCTTTAGAATTATTACTAGCATTATCCACATTCAATTCTTCTTGGACATTATTAACAACATTTTGATATATAATTCCAACAGTGTCGTGTAAAGTTTCTTTTCCATTTAGGGTATCGACAAATCTATCAAAATTATCGAATGCCACACCTGTACATATTAATGGAGAACAGATAATGTCAGGAGAACTTATTTGTGAACAATTAACAGATGCTATAGTTGCTTCAGTTTCAAATTCTTCCAGGGTATTATAGTTGCAACAATGTCCAAATCTATTTAAAATAATAATAACTTTTCGACTATTTGTAAGACTTTTTATAGTTAAATCAAGTGTTATGAGTTTAGACGGTTTAACAGTTTCACTATTGACAAAAAAAATAGCGTCTGAGGCCATTGAATTGGTCAATCTGTCACAATTGACACCATTTCTTTGACGAATATCTTTACATCCAATCAAGACTTTATAAAACCGCTCAAATTTCTCTGGAATGGAACATTCACCATTAATTAAATCATCCACCTTAATTTTTGATTTTAATATAAATTTATTAATATTTAAAATTGTTTTTCGTAGGATTAATGCTACCTTTTCAATACAATCATTCTCTTCAAGATCTGTTAAATCGTTTTCTTCTATTAAATTACTATCCATGTGCATATTTTTTTATTTTTCTTTTGAATTTTAATGGTCTTTGAGACATTTTTTAATATTTTATTTTCAAGATTATGATGAGTCACATAACTTGATTCCGGTAAAAATTGTTGTTTTAATTCATACTCCAAGTTACTATTGTAAATATCACAAAGCGATGATAATAGCAAGCAACATTATTTTTATAACCTCTGCATTAATTAAAAACATAATATTGTCGAAATTATTTTTGTGAATATCTCTGTTTGCATGCCATGTAGTACGTGGATTATCTTTAATTGTTTTATTGTAGTTATTCGTGTATGCTAATTCACATAAATGATGGTAGAAAACACTCCCACCTGCAGATTTTATAGCATTGATTTTTTTTAACAGTTTATCATGATCTTATATTATCATTTATTCAATAATTTTTTCATATAGTTTTTCATCTTTTGAAGAATGTAAAGTTTGCTGTTTTCTTTTAACTTGCTTTCGGTCTTTTTCGCAAAAAAAGCATACACTTTTAAAGTTATCACTTCTTTCTGTGGCACTTTCTTTTTCCAACTCTGGAATTTTATAAAATGAGTCAATTTCTAAATCAGAAAATGTATATAGATCTCTATTATCAACGATTGGAGTAATATTTTCTTGAGTAGTATAACCAATATTAATTGGAGAATTTGAAAATGTTGGACAAGATGTACTCGGAGAATTAATCTACAGTATAGGATTTGGATTACGATATTTAGATATCAAGAATGTAAAACTGCTATAACACTGTTTATGGTATCCATCAGTATCATTAACACTGTCTGGTAGCCTAACATTTTTATATTTTAAATTGAATATAGAATGTCCACACACTTATTCAGTTTTTCATTAGTAAATATGATTCTTTTTCCAGTTTTCTCTTCACAAAAAAACACATTTTTGTTTTCCGTTACTCATCACGATGAAATTTGGCTTTACCATTTGATGAACACAACTAATAACACACAAACATTGAGATACATGGACGACGCCATCATAAAAAGTGACAGACAGTACTCTTCTACACTGCCTACTATCTCCGAGACTCAAATCGGTCCGGCTTCTTATTATACAACTGAATTTATGTATGGCAAATTAATTTTAAGTTCTTTGATAGCATAACTATATCATATTAAAATTACTGCAGCTATACTAAAATGATTTAAAAAAATATTTTTTTTATTTACTAAAATAGCATCTGGCACAGAGTTAGCAACGACAAAACTGTATGGCACTTTATATTTTTATTGCTAAAAAGATATAGAAAAATATGAAGAAAAAAGAAATCGACCTAAAATGATTTGAAAATACGTAATTTGTAACCGTCTAGAGATTGAACCAAAACCTTCTTGAGATGGAACCAAAACCTTCTAGAGATTAAACCAATAAAACGTTTAGAGATTAAACTAATAAAACGTCTAGAAATGAATCCAAAAACCGTCTAGATATAGCCATGAGCTAAAAAGGATTAAAATGATATCATTAAAATTAATATGAGAAGGAAAAATCTTATTTAATATATTTATACATAGTAATATCTTATTTCAAAAAAATAATATATAATTTTATATAAAATTAACCATGTGTTATTCATTGTTGAAATTGAGGTTATGTTTAAAACTTGACAATTTATTTAATAAATCCTTGTACAAAATATATATATTTAATAACATATTATTATTAAAACTTACCTTATAAAATCAGATGGATTTTAAGAATATTCAAAATCATCTAATACTTCGGATGACCAAGATAAATTAAAATAAAATCAAGTTGATTGTCGCTGTCAACCAAGTTAAAAATAAAACTCACAAGACGACAAATGATATGTGTGTAAGAGGTGGTTGTGTCGAAATAATGAAATAACGGTTCCAACCGATACATTTTAAAATTATTATCGAATATACAAGTTGTTTAGTCACTGCAGTCTGGAACAAATTTGTGTATTTTTAAACGGATCACCCTTAATTATTGTATTTTATATGAATCACCCTTGCTTTTCCCATTATAACATTACCAAATAGTATGATATTCACACGAAATACCCAGTTTATGTGAAAATTGTATTGAAAGAATTAAAACCATTTTTTTTTGCTATAAAATGTACACATAAATAAAGTCGAGTGCAGGGATATGAAGGCTTCCGGAAATATAATTGCTTTATTATACAGTGAACCTAGGATTCGCCTAGGCTGCCGCTACCCAAACCTACGTCTATCCTGTCTCTCGAGGTAATATAACCTAACTTTTTGAACTTTTGCAAAACACAAACTATTTCCTTCCCGTTTTATTATTTGTCCGAACAAAGTCGTGTCGCCAGGTACCTATAGTGTAAAATAATCTCGGAGTGTAACCCCACGTATGGGAGAGCCCTCTTGGCCAACCAAAACCGGGTATGAGACTTTGTACTCGTGACGAGTCGGCAAAGGTATCGCCGCCTCTTAAAAACCGCCAACAATTAATGTGAATGTGCCCGAAGGTCTTCAAAGCCAAACAAAACACCTGTACAAAACTGTGAGTACTGCCAGAAATCCGACTAACTCTCCTAACCCGGGGTCATATACCACATTCAGAAGGGACTCCCTGGCCGAACATTTTTCTAAAAAAAGTTTGGAGAAAGAACTACCATCTGGTGAAAGACACCAACCCAAAACGGCCGGCAACGAAGAGCCAAGGTACCGCAGAATTGCTGAAATCAATTCCAAACAACCAACAAAATCGGCTCCAAAAAGCACTCGAAAATGAAAGTTTGGAGAATTTAAATCACGAAGGTATGGAGAAAACCAGACTCGAAAGTATGGAGAAAGCTACCGACACCCAGCCACAGTAGCCGCCGAGCGATGGCAACGCGCACATAGACCCATTGAGTGACTTGAACGATGATTCTCAAGTATCGCAGGAGAATAGCATAGACGGTCTACGATCAGATCCAAACGAACGTACGGAGAAACTCATTAATACGCTTGAAGACTCTAACAGCGAACCTAGAATCCCAAAATCAGATATTCATCCAATTTGCACATCGACGAACAGGAATCCGACGTAGACACGATCAAAAATAATTAAAATTTTGAGACAATAAAACAATTTGTGGAAAAATCAAAAAATTCGCAGAAATTCCCTAAATTCGAATCGGCCTACAAAACACTGGCAATGCCAAGATACGTAAAAGATTCCTCAGGGGAGGAATCATCCCAAAACTACGAGGCACCAACACCGCCGCCTCTAGCCCCGATGATGATACAAATTGAAGCCAGAGACCTCAGTACACGTCACCAAAGTCGCCTATCCCCAAAATAAAAAGGACAAATGATATGCCACTGAAAAACCTGGATGAAATAAATATGATAGAAATGGA